TTACATTTGTTCCGCAGATCACACGGGGTCTATGCCCCAGAAATTGGGAAACACTTACCTACGTGTATGCTCGGATGTGCACGACAGACACAGATTGAAGAAAAAACTGACATTTTGCTGGTTTGTTAATTTTACCAGGGTTAATTAAACAAACTTGCCAAAAGCCGATTGGCCGTGGACCTTAGAGATAAACGTCTGTTGCAACTGCTTAAATATTCCCTCGTGCCCTGTGTTGACTTTTCGCAACTTAGTATTGTGTTCGAGACAGGACAGATAAGGTTAAAATTAGGACCGGGGACATCTACAGATGTTAATCTTATTACATTTGCATTGGGGATATTGAAAAGTTTTCTCTAAGGGGTCAAAGATTGTAAATTCATCCCAGGTCTGTCAGAAAAAGCAAACAAGTTAAGATGGCTCATATCCTAGTCAGCCAGTTAATCTCACATAAGAGCAATGGCAGAATAGACAAGCCAATTAGCTGAAAGAAAGCTATCCAAAGGCTTTATATATATATATATATATATATATATATATATATATATATATATATATATATATATATATATATATATGTGTGTGTGTGTGTGTGTGTGTGGTACTTCTTACGTTTTCGGGCCCGAAAAGAGTGTGATTCCCTTCCCATTCATAAATCGCTGTCTCGCACGGCTTGTGCTATGCTGTGCGGATGCCACGCTTAGTAAACGGCCAGCAACACGTAGCATTTTAGCAGTTCTTGTCACCGGTCGGCGATATCGTGTGTTCTATATTACAGAATGTAAACGCCTCATACGGTCCCCAAACATGCGGAACTTAGCCTAAAACCCTTACAATTAACGGTGTCCCTGACACTGAGGCTGAAAGTCTTCCATGCGCACTACACTGGACCAAATGAGCTAAGCTCAAGTTTTTCTTGGTGAGAAAAAAAAAATGGTGATCCAGATGATCTTCTATGATGTCAAACTGTCCATCATCTTTTTTCTTTGTAAATCTCTGCTTCTCTTTCTAGAAACGATCCTTTATTTCACTATGTACTTCGGTTCTCCGTTATCACGATGTGGCCAAACAATGTGGATTGTCTTCTTTTGTCGCGGATAATCAGTTCCCTTCCTGAGTTAATTTCTCGGGCTGTCAACTCAGTAGCATTCTCGTATCAGTGTGGCTGGTAACAGTATCTATCTATCAGTATAGTGAGGAACTTGTATCTGGGGGGGGGGGGGGTCGGTACGGCTGCTAAGTCCCCAAGGTACACAATCAGGCCATCTGCAGTATACCGTAGGTCACACGCTCAGAGCCCATAACAGACAGAAACACTTACTGATCTGCATGCCCTGGAGGACCCAGAAGACACAAATCACCCCCAGCTCTCTGTAAATATCACATCTTAAAGGAAATATCAGCACAGAGCCGATTGCAAAAACTTTAGAAGGGTTGACTGTTCTTCTTCTAAGCGTTCCTCAGAGGTAACCTAGAGCGGAAAGTTCTGGTTGTGCGTCAGACTGTCTAGCATCTACTTTTTCTGCCTCTTTCTTACCCCCCCCCCCCTTCCCCCACCCCTTACCCCCCCCCCCCTTTCCCCTTAACTTTCCCAACGTCATGATGTTGTCCGGTTTTTTCATTCTCATTCTTAAAAAAAGTAGACTATCGCCGTGTAACTCAGTACCTGAAAATATACTCCAGACCTCTGAACTCCTTCTAATAAAGAAGCAATCTGGCCAGTTCCCAGCTCAATATAGACAGAGCTGTATGACACGGAGATTCAGACTGCACGGTAGATTCAGCAAGGTTTGTGTTTTCCGCGTATATGTTTTCTGTTAGAGGGATCGACGAAGAAAACGGACAAAAAGAAATAGAACAATAAGGACATGGTGATACAGAGCAGTGTGGTGGGTAACTGGCATTCATTCATTCATTCAGTAGCATGTCCCTCGCGGAACCTCGCTGCCATAACAACCCTCCGGAAAACCTTCCTATCCTGAGCAAGATGTCCTGCGTCTGATACACCCATCTGGAGATCATCTGCCACATCCTGCACCCATCTTCTCCTTGGCCTTCCTCTTCCTCTCTTCCCAGGCATATACCCCTCCATTATTGTTCTCTCTAGACTTCCATGACGTTTCAAGTGACCAAAATATTTCAATTTTCTTTGTTTTATTGTCTTTACTAGCCAACCCTCTTCAATATTCAGCTCTTGAAGTATGGATGCATTTGTTCTTTTCTTTACCCAAGATATTCTTAGAACCTGTCTGTAACATTTATATTCAAATGCATTTATGCGCTGTTCCGCTTGTTTAGTAAGTGTCCAGGTCTCACAGGCGTATGTTGCAATGGGAAAGATGCATGCTCTTAAAAATCTGACCTCGCATTAGCGTTTTAAAAAAAAAAAAAGATCAGCTGTGTAAGTAACGTGTATCAATGGGGTAGGTAACTGTATCTATATGTTAGTTAACATGTATCAGTGTTGTGGGTAAGAAATATCGCGTGTGATGGGTAAACTCACCTGTATGTGAGCGAACGTGGATCTGCAGAGCGCTGTCGCTACCGAATACCTTGTGGCAGAACCGGCACTTGTGTTTGAAGAACGGATCATCGCTGGCATACTGTGACCTCTCCAGAACTGGGAACAAGCAATCAGAATCGTTAAAAGTTAACAAGGTGAAGGTTAGGTTGATCACAAACACAGCCAAACATACAGGCATTCATACTTGTATAAGTATCAGGAAACGTAGGCGCCTCTGTGGTTTCGAGGTTAATGAGCCTGTTTTTTTTTTTTTCTTCGAGTTGACCGAGTGTAAATTCCGGTGGAAATGTCTGGTTGTGCGTCCACTCCTTGATTTTGGTCTTCATCCAGAACTTGAGTTCCATTTTTTTAAATATGCATTCTGTTGATTCCTTGCCTCCCAGGCAAATGAACTCCGACTTGGAAGTAATTATTAAAAAAAAAAGTACTTAGTCGCTTTCTACACTTTTATGCTTGTTTGGAGTGGGAAAGGAAAAACGAAAGGGAAGGGGGGGGGGAGGGGGGGGGGGTGCGGTGTCTGTTATTTCTTCACTAAAATAGAGCCCAGGAACACAATCAGATGCCATCTCCGCACTGATGGTTGGCTGGAATATATCTCCAACACACTTTGTCTCTTGTCGTGGTTATGAATAAGCTTAGTGAATGCGTTTAACAATTTCATCATCCTGGAGAAAGAGGTTCGTTGTCCTCTATGGGCAGTTGTAATCAACACCGTTCTCATGCTTTTCGCACAGTAGTGCCAGGGCCTCCTTCGAAGTCGGCGTGCAAGTGCCCATTATTAGGCAACAAAACAACAGACTTCGCAGAACTGTAAAGCTGATGCAGATGCAAAACTCAAGTTCTGGAACAAAGGCAAAATGGACGAAGAACTACAAAACTCAAGTTCTGGAACAAAGGCAAAATGGACGAACAACTACAAAACTTAAGTCCTGGAACAAAGGCAAAATGGACGAACAACTACAAAACTCAAGTCTTGGAACAAAGGCAAAATGGACGAACAACTAGGACTTCCCACTGGAGTTTACAGCCGGTGGACGCAAACAACACTACGACAATCGTACCATGGAAGAGACTAAAGTCTCACCACGTTAATATTTACAAAGACAGCCGCGGGTATACTGCAAACTTCATCGCGAAGATGGCACACCACGAGTTACGTAATGTATCGATACCTTGCGCAAAATGCATATAAACCATATATCTGTAGATGTAAAACAAACACTTTCTTTTCGGCAAAGTAAAGGGCGGAGTCGAGAGTAAATATAATAGTATGCTTGAAATAATACGAAACGTAAACACATAACACATTTAAAAGCCACAATGGAGGAGAAGGTCAAAGGCAAGAGGTAGACAGCAATACAGATGAGAGAACAACATCAAGAGATGGACGAAAAGCAGCCTGCGAGAGTTTACAAGCAAGACAAGCGACAGAGTCTATTGCAGCCAACCCTCAATGTGGAGACGGGTTCTAGTTGACTGACAAACAAAGACTTAATAAAGAGAGCCCCTGTAGATAGATGGGGTGGGGGGGAGGGGGGGGGGGGGGGGAAGGTTTCCAGAACCTTCTTCCACGCAACTCTTGGGGGTAGGGTGGGATGAGGGTGGTTCAAGATACTCGAGCGCCCAAAATCTAGCACCACTGCTGCTGAAACCGGCTGGTTTGAAACATGAAATTATAAAGACAGTGAGTTTGACCATTTTCACTCCGTAGTTGTCATTTATTTTGTTAAATAAGTTATACCCCCCAACATTACAGTCATCTGTGCTATGAAACATCGCAATCTTTTCACACATGACCAGAGACGATTAAAATAAAAAGTCACAAAGAAATAAAAATGATTTAACACCGTCAAAAGGACAGCCTCTAACTTCTGGAAATCCTCAAGATGTCAGCCAATTCAACCCCGCTTTCTTCACCTCCCTATAAACATTTCGGCGCGCAAATCCCTACAGAATTATTTGCGACATGATCACTTGCGCTCTTTGGCACCGTCTGCTGAAAATTACAGACTGAAACAAGATGAAGAGAAGAGACATTGGCGGCAGCTGTAAGATGAGACATTAGCATTACAACCAGAAAATGATCTCCGGATTCCAAGATTATCTGGCACAGCCGAACGCACAATTTCAGAAAAGTGTCTGGCCTTGTTCTTTATGCTGCCAGAATCGATTGTTGAGGCCAAAGTACTTGGGTTAATATGAGGTATACTTTATCACAGGAAGTCGCAAAAAAGCAAATGTGAGATCTAGAAGCTTCAGATGTTTGAAACAAAACATGAATAATCTTAGAAAATAAGACGAACAATGGCTTTTATTATGACTGCCAGTTAAGAAATCTGTTGGTGAATTAGTAATATTGGTGTATCAGTAGTCTTACAGTATATATTCTATAAACAAAAATATGTTGTAGTAATAGCAGACTGTAGCATTACTACAACTGGCAGTACATGCATTAGTAATAATAGTAATTGTAATCGTAGCAGTATTCATAGCAGTAACAGTAATAATAGTATACCATGTTCAATGAAACTTGCATACAGTAGTAACAACATAGTACAGTTATAGCGGTATCTAATAGTAGCATCTTCTGCTGTTGCAATTGTGAATTTAGTAGCATCAGAAGCAGCAGCAGTAGTAGTATTAGTAGTAGCTTAAAAAGTTAGTTGCGTATCTTTTATAGAACCAGACCTTGCATTTTATAGATGTGGTTTTTCTAGGCAAATTTACGTTCAGTAATATGCCACTGCCTCCGGAAACGGTGGTCTGTCGGTACTACTGACGTAACCAATGCAGCTGGCTTCGAATCCGGCACCCATAGACACCGACAATAGTAGCAGTATCATTCTAAGTTGTTGCAGAAGTAGTTGTTTTAGTAATTATATGAGTAATCATTGTTACAAGTTAGTAACTATATGAGCAATCATTGCTATAAACTATTAATTATATCAGTTATCATTGTCACAAGTTAGTAATTATATCAGTAATCAATGTTACTAGTTAGTAATTATAAAACTAATTATTGTTATAAGGTAATATTTATATGAGTAATCGCTTTTACAAGTGCCGACACCGTTTTTTAAGGCATCATGCTTCAGGGCAACGGTAACAGACATTTTGCGGTGAGTACCGGCATCTTTTCTTTAAAAAAGAAAAAGTCCTGGACAGCAGTTTAATCACTAATGTGTGTGTGTGTATATATATATACATAACAGAGAATGCAACACAGGCGCAGACTGCTACTGTAGGCGCAGACTCCTCTATGAAAACTGACTGATTTCATGCCTCAGCCGTATTTACACAAGAAAGTGGGAGCGCGAGGCAAACATAGCAAGAACATGAAACATCAGAATAAAACGTGAAAGTGTCGGCTTGGTGTGAATGCGGGGTGGGTGGTGGCCAAAGGTGAAGTGTGAATCCATTATGATGAAATACACCACCTGGTGCTCCCAGAGAATTAGAAGCACGGCAGTCTTGATTTGTGCTATAGTGATTTGGCAACAATGTGATCTCAGTTATTTAATGTGAATACCACAGAAATATAAACGGCTGTCTCGAATATACCAAAGAGATGGGGCCGAAATAGAACCTTGAAACAGTGTGATCTCAGTTATCTAAAAGCAAAGTAAAAGGAACGGACACTTTTTCAAGCCTCAAGATGCTTTGGACATATAGGGCTAGAGCTGAATATCAGAGACCAATCGGCACTTGGTGGGTGATGAGGTCAACATCCTGCCGGCTGCCTTTACTTCCCAGAACTGTAACTGGTACCCACTCAAGGCCCGGTACGACCTGTGAGTCAAAATCATTTTTCAAAGATGTTCGGCTCAGTCACGACTCGAACACATAACCTTCGGATGCGCAGGTGAGCGTCTGGCCACTACATCACGGCTGCTTCCTCGGTTATTTAAAAGTTACGCGAAACAAAAACACATAACAAGTCTTGAGATCATTTATGAACGAATACTGATAGAAGACACAAGATTAGATATAAGAGCACGCTTAAGAATGTATGAACAAGCAATTCACTGTGAATCGAGCAAGGAGGCAAAAAACAGAACGCCCTGTGTATTATCAGTGTTCTAAGGGGACAGTTAGCATCTCCAACATAAGAAATTTGCTGTGGGAGACGGAGCACCTATGGGTGTGCCAAGTGTGCTATGATGTGGATTTTGAAATCAGTAAAATCGGTAAATGCGACACAAGTAGAGACACTGTTGTCTCGAATATGCAATGGAGAAGCGGCAAGTATAGAACCTGGAAACACTAAGGTCTCGGTTGAACACTTTAGATGCTTTCATATATAGAAACTCCACGGTTTTTACTGTATTATAGGTCATTATCACCTTGTAGCAGGTCCTTTGCATACCATCGCTCTCATCAAGATCTGCCTTTTAAACAGAATTTTTTTTTAAAGCGCGGTCTCTTCCCAGCTACAGTACACTTTCGTATTCAAGGAGTTACTTATGTCCCGTGCCAGTCTTCACGTTGGTCGGTCCCTGCCAATCCTTTCTAGTACTACGTCTTCTGCTGTTGATTTTCCGTCCGCATGATATGGCAAACATATTTCAGCTTCCGAGAAAAGATGCTGTTTATAAGTCAGTGTTCCTGGATTATCAAATCTTTTAAAATGTCAGTATTTCTTTTCTTCTTATTGTAGGTGTCGGACAGCACCTAAAATAATTTGGTCTCAGGTATATAATGTAAGTAAAGTAAAGGGGCATCGGGCATATAGAAAGAGCACCCATATGTTTACAGACCATCGACACTAGGTGGGTAATGTGGTCAGCATTACGCCTGGTATATAATGTAGAAACCATCAAAATTAAAATGTTTTTAAACAAAGCTGTCTCAGCTACAGAAGATAGATATGGTAGAATCCAAACGAAAACAGAACTAGCCAGCATCAAAATCAGGAACCGCAGAAAAAGAAAAACATCTGTACCAACAGTACTCTTCTTCAGCGATCTCTGGTCATGCGCATAATCCACTGTGGGCCATAAACTGGGATGTCTTTTCAAGGTCTCTTAGGTTTCCCCAAAGCTTAGCTGACAGTTCTACTGGGTGTTGCCATGTGTTGCTCCGCAGCTCCGCCAGGT